TGTATTTATTTTTTGGTATAGATTTAAATTCTTAAATATTTGTAGACCAAACCAACTTCATAAATGTGATAGGGGGTTATTAAAATAAATTTAAATAAATTGAACAAAAAATTAATAAACGTTTTATTGGATTATATTAAATTGTAAGTACCTTAAATGCTTAAAGAAATTTAAAAACTGCTGCAGTAATTACAAAGATTAAAGTTATACTTTAAAACTGGGAAAATTATGGGTACTTGTGCAGATTTTAGAAACACATTATACAGTCATTACAAAAGATTTAACCCCATAGTTTTACACAATTAAGCCGTTGTTTTAAAAGCTCTAGAGATTTTAGAAACACACCGAGAAAACTTGTTTCACCTTGACTTCTGCCTCCAATTCGTAGTGAGCTCTCGGGCTTAAAGTGGAAAGCCGCCGCCAGACGGATGACCCATGTGGCCCCCTCATCCCATTTCTCTTTCCCTTTCCGGGGGCGCAGACGCCATTTTAAATGCTGCACAGAACGAAAAAATAGCGCTTAGAGCACTTTGCTGGCAAATGCATAATTAAGTTATTAGGACAACAACGAAAACACTGCAAGCTAACGGAATTATCTAAGCATAGGCCAGGGGAAAGCGGATGCGGCTGCCTGCAGGGGATGGTTGATGCAGGGGGTTGGATTGGTAACACCCAAGGAGCAGGGGTGGCAGGACCAACCAGGGGCAAGGTTAGCAGCCCTGGCATCCTGTCTGGCCAACCACCAGCAGGCACACGGCGGATCAGGACGGAGGACGAAGCGGAATCTGGAGAGCGGTGCGTGCTACAAATTCGTTAACCGTTTGCCAGCCCACCGCCCAACCCCAAAGTTAAAAAACGCAGCCGGCGACTTCATCGAGATGCACTTGAAAAAGTTATCCGAAATCTTTGGACATAATTATGAAAATTAATCTTAATATTAGATTTCTTGCATATTAGTATAGTTTTTACCATTGTATTTTCTATTTACTTACTAGCTAATTAAAAAAAAAAAAAAAAACCAATAAATATTTTAGTATGTAAAAAAAAAGTTTTAAATATTTAGAGTTTTAAAATCGTTCGTTAAGGTAACCGAAATAAAATAAAAAGCAACAAAATATATGAATTCAATTTTTTTTAATTTGATAAAAGAGATACTTTAATATTTAAATATTTCTTAGCATATATAAAAAGGCATTAAATATTTGAAGATCTAAAATCGCTTGTAAAGGTGCCCAAAAGTATGCAATAAAATATATCATGATGAAATTCGAAGCAAAATGATATAAGATTTTAAACTCTTTTAAGCACAAGTTGTTCACCTTTTTTCCATAATAATGATCTCTTACCTTTTTTCACACCATCTCCGTTATCCTTTTTCCCTCAGTATGGCTGGCAAAAGTTGAGGAGTTATATTTCCTATGGGCGGTAACCGGGACCGCCCCTTTATGCACACACACAGTCGTCGCAGAACAGGCGGCGATTGCTCAGACGTTATAATTTGTAATCATGCTGAGTGCAGCGGCGGCGGCCCAAAAACACAGGAGGGGTTGCTCGATGCTCGCTGCTCGACCAGGACGACCAGGACCAGGAGATGGAGGACCAGGACGAGGAGGATGTGGATGTGGATGGGGATGGGCATCCAGCAAGTGGTTGTTGACTGCCGGATGCTTAGCAAGGTCTTAGCTGTTATTACGCTCATGTGTCACTTTTGCAGGACCAAATGCGTGTGTCTGCATCCTCTCGCTATCCTTTTCCATCTCTGTGTTAGTGTGTGTGTGTGTGTTTGCTCATATTTTATTCAGCATCTGGTGGTTATCCAAACTGCTGCCCTCTCGCTCTCACATTCGCTGGCCATTCTGGGTTTTTTTGACGTCTGCAGACATTTTGCCAAGTTAATCTCCGGTTTGTTTTCCTGATAATGGGTTTGTCAACGGTACTTTGTGATGCCCTCTCTTTCTGTCTGACTGTCTGTCTGTCAGTGTGCGAGTGTGTGAGAGTATATCTATATTAATATTTGCATAAATGCAGTTGTAGTCGTGAGTGAGCTTTTCTCCCTTTTTTTTGACTGTCTGCCAGATGAACTCTTTGGCGTTGGTCCTTGTTTTTTGGGTACGTATTTACCCTGTCAAGCGGTGAAACAAGTGAGAGTGATACAAAAAATTGTTATGGAAATAATAGAGGCTACAAATACCCTGGTACTACATTATAAAATATGATATATTACCATAAACTTTATGAAATGATTATTAGAAAGTAGAGCTTGATAAATATCGGCATTATCGATATTTTTGATATCTTTCAAACATCGACATTTATCGAAAACATCCATAATTTTCTAACGTAGTATTAAAAATTTTGATTTTACTTTTTATTATTAATTATTATTATTATCGATCGATAATATCGTAAATATCGATATTTTAAAGCTCTATTAGATACACCTAAATAGATATTACCAATATACCCCTCATCACTCCACATACCCTTTACACACCCATCATATCAGGTCCATAAAATGGTGTTGCGTTGCAGCCACGCCCACAAATTTTATCTGGTACCCGCCCCCAAATTAATCAAGCGGCTGTTGCAATTTTCTCACAATCCCAACGAGGGAAGTGGGTGCGTGTGACGTGTGGGCGACTCCTCATGCGGTTCAATCTGCTGCAATCTGCTTCATCGGGATCAGCAGTAGCATTGGACACCGCACCACCACCTGCTGCTGGTGACAGGGACCAGAACCGTATCCGCATCCTGGCAGTCCTGGCCGAAACACCTGGGCCACCCGGGAGTTGAATCCTTCACAGGTGTCCTGTCCTTGCCGAAAAATGCACCGCTCACCTTGTTGTTGGCTGATTTTGACAAGCTCAATTAGGGCAGCCAGGCACTCTAAACGGATTGAAATCCGGATTGCAATTGGGGGGTTGGCCCCCATTCGAACCACTGTTTTCGGCAATAATGGGGCAAAGAAAGAAAAAAGGAAACCGTTTAAATTAATTGCAGTTTTAAGCAGATTGAAACTTGTTAAACAGCGAGCCAACGAGCTTACAATCCGCAGCTGGCGGAGAAGTTTTTACCACCCGCTCTGCACGCACATTGCACCGCCCACACCACACACACACTGCACTTAAGATGATAATCATGTTTACGTGGCGCAAGTTAAATTGCTAACGTAATGGACTAACAGCAGGTGAGGACGACCCCACGCTAGAAGGATTCAAGGAGCAGGAGCTGGATCTGGTAGCTCAAAGAACACTGTACAAAAAAACTCAAGAGTTTTTAAAAATATTAATTAATAAGTTAAAGAAATGTTTTACATAGGTGTTTAAAAGTATGCAACAATTTAATTTAAATCGAAAAAATTAACGTTCTATATTTCACTGATTACGTTTGGACACCTTTATAGGAAATTTTAGAAATGAACCAACTTTTCTTGCTATTTTTAAATATTTAAGAGTTTTAAAAAATATTATTTAAAGTATAATATTCAAAAATGGTTTTTAAATTATTTATAAAGATGTTTAAAAGTACGCAACGTTTTATTTTAAATCAATAAGATGACTTCCTTTACTTCACTGCCTACTTTTAGACACCATAATAAGTGATTTTAAATTTTAGACCATTTTTTTAGATATTTGATCCATTTTTCTCCCAGTGAGCCAGCCGTTCATGCACCTCATGCGTGCGCTGCTGTCAGCGGCACATTTTGGCTGCTTTCAAGTGGCCAACAACCTGGATGGCTCAGAAAAAGACCATTTGCTTGGACGTGCCACCGGTTGGAGCAGGGGGCTTCGCCGGATTGAATTCCGAATTGGAAGCTGCAAGGAAAGGATGGTGCATCTCGCAGCGCAGCGCTCCTGTGTGTGGTGTGCGCTTCATTGGACAACTGAATATGCAAATTGAATTGAGCGTATTATCGACAAGAAGAAGGAGGCGGTGGCAACAAGGAGGGCGTGGCCCTGCAGGTAAGAGGTGAGCAGCAGCCCCTGCTTGGCCATCAACATAATCGCTCAAGCCAAGGGCTTTGGACGGGATTGCTATGGCAATGGCGATGGCGATGGCTATGACGATGGCGATGGCTATGGCGTTGGCGAGATGGGATCGGTGCCCAGTGGGCCAAGATGGTGGCAAATGGTGCACAAAATTAAAATTTTAATGGCTAGCAGCTGATGCTTGTTTGGCTTTCAGCGGAATGGGTTGAGGGAGTGGAAAACTAGGATGGGCATGTGGATTGGGTTTGGGATGAGGATAAGGCTGAGCGCTGAGTCAAAGAAAAGCACGATTAAAGCCAAGTCAACGAGCAGCTCTAAAATCATTGCGGCTTCCATATGAATACGGAAAATTGCTGAATACTTCTGGGCTGCAGGGGAAAGGCGGTAAATGTTGCATACTTTCTCCTACAATTTGTTGCACAAGTGTCTTGGAATTAGTATTGCCCGATTTCAGGAGGCCACAGAAACCTTAAAGACCCTTGTATGTCTTTAATACCTCTCCTGATTTTTATTAGGTTTAACATACCTATTAGTTATAAGTTATTAGTTTTAACATACCTAATTAAGAAATTTGATAACGTAGAAAACATAGTAGGAATATATTAAGTTAAAAAATCAAAAATAGATCGCAGCTGCTTTATATTCCAGAATTTGAACCACTTGGTTATTAAATATTTAGAAAAATGTAAAATAGCTACAAAAATATATCAAGTCTGTTTTTAAGCCGGGAATAACCTTGTGAAAATCATATCCAATTGGTATTGTAAAAAAATGAATAAGGGAAAGTAAAAATGTAATAATATTGTGAAAAATGTATTAAAAAGTGTTGTATATTTTTTGTCGTCCCCTGAATATTGCAGTGATAAAGAGCTCTCCCCGTCGACTAATGTTCTCATTTGGTTCTTTGTTCTCTGCGATACACACACCCAAACTCACACACTCAAGTGCCCGGTTGATTGACGCACGTAAACAATTTTTTCATTGAAAGAAGAGGCCTCAGTCGACGGCGAGTGCTGTTCGCGAGCGGAATTCCAGCTGCCGCGTAAAAATATATAGAACAAACACAAAAGCCGCAACGAGAAAATGAATATATAAAAAAAATAGAAACCAAATTAGCGCTATGTAAAAGTCCGAAAACGAACCGAAAATTGGAGGGGACAAGTGTCGCCGTCGCCGTCGGTCGGGGCAATAAAATAAAATAAAATATTCAGAGCATCACAGATGCCGCTGCGATGACGGAGCCAATTAGTGCGGCGGTGCAGCGGAGGAGGCAGCTGCTCCACAGCGTTGAAAGTTTGCGCGGTCGTGTTCGCCAAGTGCTAAAATGTGTTATTAATCTGCATATTGAGTTTTTGGTAATTGAACGGGCAAGGACCTCCGTAAAACTCCCACTCCCCTTGTTTTACCACAAATCGTTTTTACCATACAAGCCGTAATCCACTTGGCCACAGAGTGACACTTGTTTGCATTTGTTGTTGGTCAAAAGTGCTGAACTCACATCGACAGGCGGCTATATCTGCTATATATATGTTATATCTTCTATATATGTGCAACTCCCTGCTTATCTGGACGTTGTGCCACTTTTGTTATCTCTCCATCACTTTCAAATTCTTACACAGGTACACAGCCGAAAATTTCCAGGAACCATTTCAAGTTTTCCATGATATTTGGGTGCTCCTGAGTAAAAGTCCCATACAAAATTATTTTCCATCACCTACAGCTTCCGCGGTGTACCTAAGAATACAAAAAACCGATGTTTTCCGACATTTTGAATTACGTGGCCAATATAAGTGGACTTACCTTTATTATTTTCGGCAGGACCTACTCTCAATACATCACGGCACTACTAAAAAATAGTCTCAATCGTGAAGCATTGCCCATGTCTTTGGAATTCGACGCCAAAGTTGAAACTCCCAAAATTTTCAAAATTTGTGAGATGAAAAAACAATTCTGAGAATTAAATTTTGAATGGAACTAATTTTAAATATTCATTGAATCGATTGTTTATTGTATTCTTTAATTTCGGTTTTTAAGCGTTTTCATGAGGACATTTTATTGGATTTATTAAACAAATAAAACCGCTTTTTTGATTTTATTATCTACTCCTATTTGCTGTCAAATTTCAAATAAGTCAAGGCAACCTATAGAATGCGAGTAAATATGTATCTTTTTATATATAATATAAATTTACATTTATATTAAATAAAAAGGTCTTCCGAACATAATATTTTTAAGACAGCTTAGTAGTAGCCAGCGATAATCCTTACATATTTAAGTTCAGTCAAAAAGAAAAAATGGCCCCAAAAGACTCGTGTAAGTCATCTCCAAACAATTTTTGCTATGTTTGCGGATTATTTATTTCAATTAAAAGAAGAAGACCAATTAACCAAACAATATGCAGGAATTACAAGATTGTATTCAACATGGAAATACAAAATCAAGATAAAACGTGGGTACCCAAGTCATGCTGTGACAAATGCAGACTTGATATGGAAGCAGCACGCAAAAATATTAGGCAGATGCCATTTTCAAGACCTTCAATATGGATAGAACCAAAAGACCACATCACAGACTGCTTCTTTTGCTTGACCAACATTAACGGTTTCAATGAAAGTTCGAAAGACTCCATTATTTATCATGGATTTATCATTCACTTGCCTCATCCTGTTTCTGTATTTCTATATTAGATCGAAAATAAAATAAGATATATTAGTAAACTAAAAAAATAATTAAATGTTCTTACTATTGACATAAAAATAAGAGGTTTTGCATTTCCTTTTTTTTCTGAGCCCTGAACTTGAAGATTCCCTTAATAATCCCCAGCAGTAATCAGCCAACATTGATGGACTCCACTTTCCTTGGTACCTCTTCTCTATGGTTGCGATTTTATATATTATATATAAAAAGATACATATTTACTCGCATTCTATAGGTTGCCTTGACTTATTTGAAATTTGACAGCAAATAGGAGTAGATAATAAAATAAAAAAAGCGGTTTTATTTGTTTAATAAATCCAATAAAATGTCCTCATGAAAACGCTTAAAAACCGAAATTAAAGAATACAATAAACAATCGATTCAATGAATATTTAAAATTAGTTCCATTCAAAATTTAATTCTCAGAAATGTTTTTTCATCTTACAAATTTTGAAAATTTTGGGAGTTTCAACTTTGGCGTCGAATTCCAAAGACATGGGCAATGCTTCACAATTGAGACTATTTTTTAGTAGTGCCGTGATGTATTGAGAGTAGGTCCTGCCGAAAATAATAAAGGTAAGTCCACTTATATTGGCCACGTAATTCAAAATGTCGGAAAACATCGGTTTTTTGTATTCTTAGGTATACCGCGGAAGCTGTAGGTGATGGAAAATAATTTTGTATGGGACTTTTACTCAGGAGCACCCAAATATCATGGAAAACTTGAAATGGTTCGTGGAAATTTCACAAAGTTTAATTTTGTGTTCCTGTGTTATCAGTGCTTTCACAAACTCTTTCTGTAAAGGTTGGATTTTCTCTCTAAAAATAGTCAACAATAAATATTGAGCTGCATTATTGGACCGTACAAGATTTTCAAGTTATACTTTCTTCTCACGATTTATTCAAAAAAGTTAGAGATTACAATTCTGTGAGTCAGCGATAATAAAGCTAAAGATATTAACAAATTAATTAGATTTAATTTGGTGTAACCTTAGTTCATTTTTAATATTACGTACATTACTAAGGTGTTTTTGAAGAGATTTGTTTTTAGAACAAACTATTTATTTAATACAGTATTTTGTTCAACCTGTCGAATACGAAATATTAATAGTTGTCACTCCATTACAAGACTCTGATTATTGTTTATTAATACATTTTCCTAAGCTAAATATTTATAAAATTTTTTGTTAAAATTGTTCAATTTTATATAAAAAATTAATGCAAAAATGCGCTGTAGTATTTTTATTAAAATATAATTTGAATAATTTTTTTTTGTCAATCAAATTGTTAACAGACTATATCCATTAACCCCTTTGGGCCTTCGCCCATTGTTATCGTGGCGATATTCCATTCCCATTCCACCTGTTATCACCTGTTGTTTAACAGTTCCACCGGCAACTCTGTTAACAGCTGCGACAGCGATTTGGAACATGTTAATGCAATTATAGCCAGTTATTGGGAACGAAATGTTAGAATGTTGCGCTGGTCAAGGGGTTGGTGGTAAAGGGGCGGGAAGAGGGGGGTGTTGGAGGTTGGGAGGTTGTTGGGGGTTGCAGTGATTACTGACACCGCTAATTAGACAATGTCGGTTCGGCCATAGGCGAACGAACGGTTTTGCGATGTATAACACCGTCGTGGGTAAGAAAATAGTGACCAATGAAGAACTACTATTTCCGGATAATATTTACAGTGGATACAAAAAACAAATAAGCTAAGTAACTATACGGATATACCTTCGTAAACGTCGATTTGAATTATTTTACAATAATATATCTTTCTAAATATATCTTAAAAAAAGAAGTTTAAATAAATTAATTAAATTTTACTGTCAAAATAAAAAGGAAATATTGTAAATATTTTATTGACATAACAATTTTTTATTTAAATCAGTTTTGAAAATTAATATTTAAAAACTTAAAATTAATTTCTACGAAGACTATATTTCTGCTCAGGGGTGTATACCCCTACCCCTTTGAAACATGCACCCAACATGAGCTTAGTTGGCCGGGTTCCCGAGGCTTTGCTAATTGGGCGCTAATAGAGACGCTAGTGACGAGGCTTGTGAAAAGATATAGAGCTGAAATCCGAGCCGACATCGGGGAATGAATGGCGTGAATAGGGGGAGATGAAGGTAAGATGGGTAACTCTGGGTAGCTGCAGTGGGAAAGTAAGGCTAGGCTATCAATGACCGTAACGCCGTCACTGTCATTGTGTCATTGGATACCGCAATGCAAATCGAGCAAAATAAGCGATTTTCCACAGCTAATCCAATTTCCACCCACCTCTCCTCACTCACAGGTGCTCGAATCCGATGTGGCCGCTCTGCTGGATGAGGTGAGGGAATTCAACGACGACCACGAAGAGATGCGCCGTCTGGACAGGATGATCGAGGCACTGAGGGAATACAGCGGACCCACGATATGCCACGAGTGGCCCTATCCCCTCATCTTCAAAGGCACAATCGACGAGGCACACGTCGCACAAATACTCAATGATCTGGAGGAGGAGGAAAAGGAGCTGGTGAAGGTGTCCAGCGGTGCAAACTGCATCCAGCTGAAATCAGAATCCGATGTGGTCACAGCTCAAAGGCGGTCCAAAATCCTGTGGTTCTCGAGGAGGAGGAGCAGCAGAAAGCGAGCTGAGCGATTAAAGGAACTTCAGCCTTCTGTTTAAACGACTTCCTGAGAAAATAACTAGTCCGAAATAAATGTGAACAAAACAAATTATACTTATAGACTAGTTTTTATAGCCCAAAACTGTAATCTGCCACTCAAAAAATATATTTAAAACTTTTATGAAGCCAAAGGTTATCACTACGCTAAAGTGGATTTAAATGGAAAATTAATATTTACATTTCAAATATTCAGAACTTTCTACCACATAAACTGACTTTAAAATCCAAACAACAAAATATTCCCTTTAGTTTAGGAATAATGTGTAAGGAAAGAAAAATGTTTAAGTCCGCTTTATAGATATAAATAATTTTATAATAATGAAAAAAATAAACAAATTTATGTTAAGAAAAAACCAACATGTGCTAAAGACTGCGTTAAGGTTTGCATTAACCATACATTGAATTTTTAATATTTGTGGATATCCCTGTAAATATAAAATCCGCCTTGCCTTATCTAAAAATGTTTTACAACATTGTCAAACTAATATCGGAAAATATTTATGTGTGTTAAACGTGTAATAACTAAATAAATAATAGCAAATTGCTATACAAAATTTCACTGTTAGACTTATCAAATAAAAAAATAATTTTATTGTGAACAATTAACCGTTTCTTAATCATTTTACTCATGTATCTAAGAACCCATTAAAACCAATTGTATTGGATACATTTTCATTTCTGGTTGTTTCATTTACTGCGGTTAACTGACGCCTGTATATCGATATTAGCCCCCACCGCAGGCATCTTGCATTCATGATATTTGCGGTGGCGGCGGTAGGCATTGATTTTGACAGAAAGCACAGCGGGCCAGCGGAAATTCCAACTGGATGTGACATTCAAGGGGGGATTCCCCTTCCCAGAAAATTACATTTTGCACTGGTCAGCCGCAACAAGTTACCGCACCTAATTAAAACGATTTCACACGCAGCTCCATCTTAAAGGTTCGAAAGCAAAAGTGTAAACAACAAGTGCTTTTATTTGATGTTTGTGCACTCTTCGCTGGCGCGTTGCTTTATTAATTATAAATAAAACCAAAAAAGACAGCAGCCCCAGAAACAATAATAAAACGCGTTTCACTTCCCTTTGGACAAATGTGTGTGCGTATGTGGGTAAATTATTCATAACGGTATTATCAGCTTTTCTGCGCTCTGCAGGCTGATTAAATTGCTCGACCATCGCTGGAAAAAGTCCAAGGATGCGAGGTGGGTGGATGGGTGGTGAAGGTTCGGGGTGGCATGAAAGTGGCGGACAGTCGGCAAGCTTATCATGAGACCCTGGGATCCACAGTGGCGGTAAGAATTATAGAGTAAATCTCGAGTCTAAAATCATAAAATTTGCAAAATAAATGTCATTAAAACTTACAACCAAAAAAAGCTTTTTTTAATTTTTTTAAAATTAAAATAATTTACAATTATGTTTTTTATATATTCTCCAAAAGTATGCAGCAATATATTTCTAATCCAAAAGTTATAAGAATTCAAACAGAAAGACGACTATTCCTTATTCACTGCATAATTTTAAATACCTATTTTGGCATAATATAATTCAGACTGATTTGTATTATTTTAAGGAAATAAAAAATCTTGAATAATTACATTTAAAGCTAAATCTAGGAATTCAGAATTTTAAATTATATATTCTCATATTCTCGTAATTAATGTTAATATTATGTCTGCGATTGTACCTAATAAGCGAGGTGTCCGTTTCCGTTTCTGTGTGGGTGTCCGTAAGCTGGCATTCTTTGTCTCTGTGTTGTGCGCGCAATTTATCAACTCGACCGGCTATCTGTCCCGCCCGTGTCCTGTCCCTGTCCCTTTCCCTCCCTGTCGCTGTCCCTGTTCCTCCTCCGTCTGACCCATTCAGCTTGTGGTCAGGGACAATTGCAGCAGAGCGCTGTAATTATTAAAAAGTAAATAACAACAGCCACCGCACAGCGACAGCAGCAACAATCGCGATAATGAGCACAAGTGCAACAATGCACTCAAAAGAATGTGCAGTCTAAAATAATTGCCAGTAAATGCATTTTTAATTGTTTGGAAATTAAAGCTGAATGAAGTTATTAAAGTAATAATTTTAAATTAAATAGAGCTGTATGTATAATTAACTATTTAGTAATGCGCAGTATAAAAAAAATCTTTAAACAAAAATAATAGTTAAAACAAAATAAATTGTATGGCATAAATTAAAGATAATTATTCGAAAATATATCTTTAAGAAATACTTTTTTAACAAATCTAGTTAAATAAGTACATTTTAAAGCAAAACGAATTATAAACTAAGTAATCTTCCTAGTTTTACATCACCTTCTTATCAAACTATTTATTTTAATAGTGACTAAATTAAATAAGAATTTTTCGAAAAATAGAATTCTGAAATACACTTGTAAATTATTAAATTATTATTAAAACTTAGTTGTTTCTTTCAGTGCTGACCAGTGAAAACAAGAGTGAAAATGTTGCAGAAGACTGACGCAGAGACAAAGGGAAGGCCAAAGGTTGAACTCTATGCTATCGAGCACTGCGTTTCGTTTCGTCCCGTCCGATTCCCACTGCACTCTTTATCTAGAACAGCGGCGGGACAGTGAGCGTCGTGGACATTTTCCCTTTTCCATTTTCGCGCACGCGAAAGCCTGCAAAATTAATGGCCAACAAGGATGTCAATGGCACACGCCCAAAGAGGACCAAAAGCTGAAGCAGCCACCGCCGCAGCGTCGGTAAATAGCGCTCGGACCAACAGTCAGCGCAGCGGGACGAACGGGACAGGACAGAACAGGACATCAATGTAAACAAAGCCCCCAGTGCAACAGAAATCGCAGCATGCAACAGCTTTGATAAAACCTACAAAGGGCTGAAATCGGTAGTCGGCGAATGTTGAATTGCATTTCCACAGCGATCGGCATTAACAAGCTGTTAAACGCAGCTGGAATAATGAAGTGGTTAAATACATTTTCACTCTTAAATACCATTAAGTAGAATACGTTGAAAGTCTGTAGATCTTTGATTTGGATTTAAATCATGTTGGTCTACTTGTCGTATGAGTAATTTGTTTGGTATAGTTTGCAAATTTTTTGCAACATGGCGTATGACTAAATTGTCTAAGTTATTTAATTTTTCGTCCAGAATTTTAGTTTATTCTTTTGAAATAAAATTTTTAAATAAATATAATTATATGTTGGTAATAACAATTTCGTAAATTTAAACAAAATATACCTACATTTAACAAATTTTAAAAGTGCCTTTTGTATGTATATAAAAAAGTTTGACATTTTAAAAATACATCTAAGTTGAATTGAAAAATATTAAAATACACATGTTTTTTTGAGAAGTGAAAAGTTTAAGTTCCTGCACTTTGAAAGGATTTCCTTCGCTTTTCGCTATAAAGTTCGCCTCCACTTGTTGCCGCCTGCGGAAAAAGTTCAATGCCCGTCGACGAGACTAATAACTGGAATCAACTGTGATGGCAGGTGAAAATCGGAAGAGGGGAAAGGTAAAAGGAGCTCTGGCACCTGGCTTCAGTGCCAATCAACGGCTCAGTTATTGTCCGTTCGCCAGGTGGCAAAAGGAGCCTTTCTTTCCGGCAAAGCTCAGCTCATAAATGCCAGCGCACGCACACTCTCCGATTTTTGTTGCTGCTGCCGCCGCCGACTGGCATCAATTAAACTCGAATTGTTGCAGTGTCTTCGATTGAGTCGCCCCGTCTCTTTCGCACTCGCTGTGCCCAGGACCGCCCTGCCAGCGGGCAATTTGCCAGGCGACGAATATCCCTCGCTGCGTCTCCCTCTTTTACTCCTTAATTGCTTAGGTGTGTAAGCACTCGCAGAAATATAATCCTGAAATAAAAAAGAGAATTCATTTAGTGTGTATCTATAAGTTTAAAATGACTTTAAGGGGCTCAAACATTCAGATAATAATAATTATTTTAGTCATAGAGAATGATCATTAGAAAAAAAAATCGGTTATATTTTAGTTTCAGAACTCTTTGGATTTTAAATGATATAAAGTACTTTTCTTCAAATCCTTAACTTTAAAACTGTAATTATTTCTTTGATAGTTTTTTGCGTTTAGCTACTACTTTATAATTCTAGAAGTATATTTCACAAAATCAGAATTTAATTATCTTGTGCAAAAATTTGTTTAATGACTCCCCTTTTCTTTTAGTGTTCCTTCACTCTGTCTTTCTCTGTCTCGCCTGCGGTTGGCGCTTAACTTTTGCATATTTCACAACAACATTACGGCAAGAACAACGAGAGCGACGACTCAGCAGGCACGTGAATCCATTACGATGGCAGGCAATTATGTGCGTGTTTCTCCCGCTCCGCCCCACTGTCGCCTGTCTCTTTTGGTGCCCGCCCCACTGTCTTTGCCTGATAGTTGGGGCCATACGCAAATCAAAACAGTTTCCACCAGCAACAACAACGAAGCCAGCCAGCCGCAGCAATAAAAACAACAACAACAGCAGCAGCAGCTATGAAAAGCCACGAAATGGGTTTTTAATGCAAACGACTTTCCCTCCAATTGCACACGGCCAAGGTGAAAGCTGAGGGCGCTAGCCGATGAAAACCGGGAAAAGTCTGGCCCAGACCACGAAAGGAAATTACAAGGCTTGCGGGAAAATCTTTGGTTCAAGGCATTAAACTGTTTATTTATGGAAGAATGATCGGTTTTTTAAGAAAATAAGTTTTCTACGTTTAATACTTAGAATATTTACCATTATTATGGATAAAAAACCAACTAGTTCGATCTCAAAGAGAAGGTATTTAGTGGAGGATCCAGGAGTTTGTTTTGGTAGGGGTTTTCCAAACTTATTTATTGTTGCATATTTTTTGAATACCACATTTCCTTAAATATCATAAAATATTTCTAATTTCAAATATTATTGGGGAAATGAATGTCATTTTTATTTAATTTAAAATTAATTTTCATTTATATTTATTTAATTTATTTTATCATTAAATAAAAATACCACGTATTCATAATTGTGTGGTTAGTTATATAGAAATCGTTTTAAAAAATCTGTCAGTATAGAAATTTCTGAAAAATTTTTGGAGTTTCGTAACCTTTTTAACTTTTGTAGGCTATAAAATTTGTACAACTCTCTTTGATTTGCAGATCGACTTTAAATTGTTCATAGCTAATATAGAAAATGAAATAAGTTATGAATTCTGATCTCAATAATATATGGATCCCCATGGACTCCTCGGGGTGTCGTGTACCGCCATTCTGGGCCAGAAATCCAATGTTTTGGTATGTTTAGAAGCGCAGGCCGTGGCAGCAACAAGCCGAATGGGTCTGCTGGTTGTCTGCCCGCCTGTCACTCCACCTTTCCGACTGTCAGTCAGTTTAGCCAGTCAGGTGGGTCGACAGTCGGCGGCCTGGCTGTTTGGGCCTCGAATTGCCCCAAAAGAGCTTTAAATAAACAAACTAATAATGCAAATCACGAGGGTGCGAGAGAGAGAGAGCGACAGAGAGTGAGCGGAATAGGGACAGCGAGTGTCTTCCAAATGCACCGCATATAAGTGTATTCTATGGCAACCGAAAGCCAAGCCAAAATCGTGAATGTATAACCCGAATAAACAAACTAATAAAACGGGCCCACGAGTCCACGAATCCTGGCTCAGAGCGCTGCCACGGAGGCGACCAACAACACTCGAGAGGAGCACACCAATCTATATATCTATACCTATACCTGCTATATTCTATATACCCCAAAAGACTGAAAGCCAACAAACAATCGAACGAGGAGAAAAAAGAAATCACCAAAAATCGACGACGAACTGAAGGGAAAAGCAGCTCAAGTGGAGCAGTCGCTCCCAATTCCATTCGCCGTACACTCCACTCCCACTGTATCTATTTGTGTGTCCCCAAAAAACCAGAACAAGAACCAAACTAATCCATAATCCGAACGACCGGAGAGCTGAATGCAATTGCAAATTAGATAACCAGGACCAGGTTATTCGTACTTTCGGGGATTTATCATCAAAACTGGGTGAGCAAATTTCAATTACTGCAGTTGTAATTAAAGTGTTTTTTTTTGGCCTTAAATTTGAATACAACTCCTAGGATTAAATGAGGAAATAATAGAAAATTCCCTTGTTGTACTGAGATGAAAAAGAAATGGTATTGCAGTGAAGTACTGAAAGTTTAATCATGTTATAGATCTGGAAAATTTAACTATAAGTAACTATGAAGTATTTGACTTTAAGTTAATATCTTTTATACTTATTTAAAACAAGTTTGTCTATGTGTTTATCATTGAAAAAAAAAAACAAAATAATTACATTTTGTATTCAACAAACTAAAATCACATCTCTATGGAATAAATAGACGTCGCATTTTGTGTTAAATCGTTTTTTTTTAATATGATTTTCAGCCAAATTTAATGGCTTTAAAAATATTTTCATAAAATCCAAAATTAGATTTAAGCATAAACTAATTTCGGTTTTTTTTTTTAATTTCTTTATAAACTCCGAAGTATAGTTATAAATTTGTCACTTAAATATTTTTTTATACGTATTAATTTTATAACTCCAATTCCAGGACTGCATATTATGCAACACAACTAAAGAATTCCCTAAAGAACATCGCAAATCCCCCACAACCATGTCCGAAGCTCTCCAGGAGTCGCTTGCCCGCATCGAACTATTATGAAACTCGAAGGTGGAAGGTGCCACACGCACGGCAACGGGCCTGGGTCTGGGCCAGGTGCAGGGTCAGGGGCAGGTACCACCTCAGGCGGCAGTTCAGGTGCCAGGTGTCCAGGTGCAAGGACAAGGCCAAGTGCCGCCACCAAGGACGACACCGGCGACGGCGGCGGCAACTCATGCCAGGCGCCGCCAGCTGATTTCCATGGCCAAGTGCCGCAGTCGCCCGCAATCCATACTCAACGATGAAACGCCCACGCCGGAGGCATCCTGTCCTGCTCCTGCTCCTGCGCCAGCTCCAGCGAATCCCTCGCCGCAACCCCAACTCCAACCACAACAACAACAACAGAACTACTTACCTCAAACATCTTTGCTGAAAATCGAACCGTTCGTTCCTAGTTTTAATCAAAGACTACGCCGGCGTCCTATTGGTCGCTCCCATAGCACCTTAAGCCACAACGTCATCCCGAAGCGATCAGTGCAGCAGCAACATCACCAGCTGCAGCAACAGCAGCAGCAACAAATCCAACAGCAATCGGAGTTGCAAGTTGGCCAGCAGCAACATCTAAAGCGCAGCTATGCAGCAGCCGCCCAATTGCGTCAGCAGCAGCAGCAACAGCAGAGGAATCTTCCAAGAGGAGTGGGAATACAGCGGCAGCGCTCCAAGTCAACCTCCTCCTCGGCGGCCTCCAATAGTTGTCGTCCAGCGACGGCTGCCGTGACACCCAATACTCTAGTGGGCAGTACAGGAGGAACTCTGGTGAGCGGAGCCATCGTTACGCCGCAGCCAAATGGCATCTGCAGGATTCAGAGATTACCCAAGGAGCGCGAGGAGCTGCCCGATCGCATCAACTACGACAAGAGGGGACTCACTGCGATTCCCATCTTCGAGCAGGAGCCCAATCTTCGATTGCTGTCGCTGCAGCACAACCTGATCAATACCTTCCACATACCCAAGGAGCTGCCACCGCCACCGCCGCCACCAGTGCCTCCTCCTCCGCCCATTGCCACGCCGCGGGAGAGCAACAACAACAATAAGCTGGGTGGTTTGTATCCTGGAATTGTACAAGAAAATACAATAGAGAGAAGATTGATCTTGGACAAAATTAAGCACAATTGTTCTTGAATTTAAATTGAATGTTCAATTATTATAAAGAATTTTTAGGAAAAGAAAAGTTTATTCTTGAATTAAGAATATTTGTTCTTAAAAACGTACAGTTTTTCTTTTTCTTATTCTAATTTTCCATATGTTTATTTTATGGGGCACTGATAAAAAGCCTAGTAAAAGCAAAGAATTCATATTCAATTTAAATATTTTCCATTGCGTTTTTCTTAATTTTAAATGATAAAATATTAAATTTAGTAAATTTAAAAATGTTAAACTTCGATTTTAAAATGAAATTCTTTCTTTTAATGACATAAAGTATTTATTGTAAATTTAAATTTAAAATACTATTACGTTTTTTTTTAATTTTAAATGATAAAATATTAAATTTTAAAATGTTAAACTTTGATTTCGAAATGAAGTTCTTTTGTTTAATGACGTAAAATATTTATGGCAAATTTAAAAACCATTGCATCTAATATTTTTTTCTTGCTTGATTCGAATATTTTCAAATTAAATCAGGCAATTCTGTTTAGTTACTACGAAGCTTTTTAGTTCCATATGCAGATATTTAATTTTACTTTGCCCTTATATTATAGATTATATGATGAGGATCTCCTACTAATAATCCCCTTTTCTTCACCTAGAATACCACAATGGCAATGGAATCAAGGAGGGCGGACGCTCTGGCCTGCGTGGCCATCATCCCGGCAGACTCACCCGTGCCATGACCAATGCAGGCGCCAATTCCCATCGCCTCTCGCCGAAATCCGGAGGAAGTCCTGGTTCCGGCAGTCCACTGACCACCCAGGCACTGGCCATCAATGGAGGAACCGCCGCTGGACGCTCCAAGTTGGCCAAAAGGGGCTACAACTATGGACAGGCACAATTGACGCCGCCGCCGGCGCTGCGCATGCGCTATGGCTTGGAGAAGTCCAAGAGCTTTGTGAGCAGCAGTCTGCAGGCGATGAAGCATCAGCAGCAGCTCATCCAAAGGCGCGCCTTTCTCAAGGCCACCAGAGGAGCTGCAGCGGGGAACAATCTTCTCCAGAGTTGCGATGAGGGATCATCATCGCTGCTGCACAGCAGCAATCTCTCACTTTGCGGCGGATGTGGGGAGGAAGAGGAGTCATCCGTGAGTGTCATGACATCCATTTCCGCCCTGGAGCAGCTGAGCATCAAGAACAAACAGCTTAGTTTGAGTGCCAGCTATGGGAGCATCTTCCAGCAGCTCGTCTTCCTGGATCTCTATGATAATCAGATCGAAAGGATAGCCAATTTGGATGGTCTACCTTCCCTTTCGGTTTTGTTGCTAGGAAAGAACAGGATAACGGATATCGGTGGCCTGTCCTCGCTGAAGGATTCCCTGAGAGTCCTGGATCTTCATGGCAATAAGCTGACCAGTCTGGGCAGTCGCATCAATTGTTTGCAGCAGCTGAAATCCCTGAATCTGGCGGGGAATCAGATACGTCAAATAAACCAGCAGGATTTCATGGGTCTCCGCTGTCTCCGGGAGTTGAACCTTAAAAGGAATAAGCTGCGTCGGATCAATGGCTTCCAGCATTTGGTGGCCCTGGAGAGGCTTTGGTTGTGCCACAATGAACTCCATCGGGTGGATGACATGGCCAGCATAGCGAGGGCAACTCGCCTCCTGGAAGTTACCATCGAAAATAATCCCGTTTCCCTCGCCGGCGATTGTGTATCCTTCCTGGTCTCGTACCTCCCGCTGCTGCAGTCCCTCAGCCAGATGCCCATCACGGAGCAGGTGCGTCGGGCGGCTCTCGCCTGGCGACAGCACAAGGAACAGGCACAGGCGGCTCCTGGTAGCTCCGAAGCCTATCACAGCATCCGACGGGAGGAGGTGATTTCGAATGCGCGGACCAACTGGGAGCTGCTGCGATCCCAACAGACGGTGGTGGGCGGTCGTCCCAAGAGTCGACTGACCAGCGAGCTGGCCAAGATCAACGAGTCCAACGAGGGTCCCACAGAGGCAGAGGAAGCAGGGGAAACGGAGGAATCCGAGGAGTCTCATCAACCCAAAGAACTAATGGACGAACTGCAGGCTTTGATTAAACTGCCGCCCATAGCGAAGGGTCTTAGGAATCCCTTGGAAGAGGATTGCGCCTCCTCAGAGGCCTCGAGTCTAGGACCCAATGTAGACTCCTGTTCCAGTTGCTATAGCTCGGATAATGAGGATAATGGTGGCTCCAAAAATAAACCGCAAACGCCGCAGATTGATGAGAACTGCAATAAAGTGGAAAGGGCACCAGTGGCTAGCCAATCTCCTGAAGAGATCAAAGTAACTCCTCCAGCTCCCCCATCCTCTTCTCCTTCGCCACCTGCCTTGACCTTGACGCCGCCAGCTGCTCCTGGCACCCCAGTGCCTCCGGGAGCCTCCACTACACCTCCTCCTCCAGCGTCTACAGCCACCTTGCCAGTGCCCTCCACTGCATCTGCCACTACAAGTCGTCCAACCAGCAGCAAACAGCGTTCCCGCCATGCGCCCATCACCCAGTTGGGTCTGCAGATCAACCAGCGAGGCGGAGCAGGTGCCTCCTCCAAGCGCTACATGGCGGGCAGCCTGGTAAGGGCACAAACAGTGAGCAGCAGCACCAGCAACAGCAGCAGTTCCACCAGCAATGGACGAGGAAAGGCCACCAGTAATGGCTTGACTTTGGTGGCCACGCAAACAAAGACGGCTACGAACAGCTCTGCCAATCAATCTTCAGCAGGAGCAGGAGGAGCAGGAACTGGAGGCTCAACAGCCGGATCCACAGCTTCAGGAGGAGCAGCAGCAGCCACTCCAGCCAATGCAGCCATCACGGTGTCCAAGCCAAGCGCCGCTGAACGGGAAAGAGAACAAGGTGGCGATTATCTGATTGAGATTTGCGGTAGATACCTCAACATCTATGGCCAGGGAGCCCTGCGCTTCATCGACAAGCAGTGGAATCCCGCCAAGGCCAACGATGTTCACACCTTAAACTTTAGCTACATCAACTTCAACAGCATCGTCTGTGTGCTGGGCAGGATTAAGGTGCGTTTCCCGCACGCCGAGCACTACGTTTTCCGCGAGACCAACATCTCCTGTTTGGGGCAACTCAATGGATTGGCTGAGTTGCAGGGTCTGAGCAGCCTGCTCATCGATGCCGAGGGCAATGGCATCACGCTGAAGGAATCCTGGCGGGCGTATGCCATCTACAGGCTTTCCCACTGGGGATTGAAGCAGCTGAATGGTCAGGAGGTGACCGAGGCGGAGGTGGAGGCCGCCAATGCCATGTACGTGGGACTCTCCGATCTGGTGCTGTGGTCCATGCCGGAGGTGATGCTGCAGCCACTGTTGGCAAGACTTCGGCTGGATGAAACCTGCACGGCCAGCAAGCTATCTCCCAAAGAATGGCTCCTGCGGCCGGACAACAAATCCCTGCGTTTGGTGGTCGGCAAGGAGGCGCTGCAGTGGAAGAAGAATGCAGGTGCGGCATCCTCCGCCGCCTCCATGAATCTCAATCCCGCGACAGAGGCGGGCAGCACTGCCATGGCACCCAGTGCCAGGGATCGAGGACGCCAACACTTTGCCCTGCTCCTCGAGAACACCTGCAATGCCGTTGAGAAGCTGCACAAACTGGAAACCCTCTGGCCGAGCATGCTGCTCGATATCGTCCGGAATACTCTGCTGGATTACGCCCAGTTGGATGTCTACCTGCGGAACCTCATGTGCGAGCTGATGAAATGAATCGAAGAACTTATTAGTCAAACTGGCTTTTAGATAGAGGCACCATTATATTCCTACTATGATCCTAGGCATTTAACAATCCTGTAAAGCAGCTGCTTACAACTAGTCCAATTTTTATAAATATTTAACATTAAACATGATTCAAATGGTGTCACAGGAAATCAGGGTTCGGAATTTGACACACATGTTAAAAACATGAAAAGTAGTATTTTACAATGTGAGCAAAATTGTTGACATGTGTGTCAAATACAAAAGTGTTAAAATGTGAAAAATAATTGCTAGCACACGCAGCTCACTTGTGTTTTTTACACAATGTGTTATTAACACAAATGAAAACTACATTTCACGTGTCGAAATGAAAATCCATACATGAATTCTTATGCTCCAGAAAATCGTGCTTTTTTCAATTCAACTTACAATTCTGACACTTTAATGTCAAAAACTCATTGTGTTAAAAACACTCTGTGTAAAAAACTCGTCGTGTTAATAACACGTCGTGTAACTAACATAAATGAAATGTGTGTGTTATTTATGTTTCTACAAGTCAATAACTTTTTTTGAACTTGACACTTTGACATTTAACATGTTAATAACTCAAGTTTTTTACAGTGTGTGTTATTTTTCGAACCCTGCAGGAAATGCATTTCTCCTTCGTAATCTCTCCTTCAAAGTCAACCCAATCTTAAGTAAATATTCTACGCCCGAGGCTGAGCCTCCGCATCATCGCTGGTCGCCGGTTTCTGAGCCTTTTGTGCCTTGTCCACATAGATATTTAGGATGGCCTCGATGCCCGGATAGAGCACAAAGTTAGTGGTCCGTATTTTCTTGTCAATTAAGTATGAAGTCACCGATTCCGTGTTGAAGGCAATGTCCAAGGCATCGCTGTGCGTCACCTTATCCAAGTGCGTGCGCTGCACTTTGATCACGCAGTTCTCGAATCCATTTACTTTGATGCTAAGATCCAGATTGTACGCGGCATCGATGTCTGGCCATCGCTGGGCCAACACATCTTCGCTCCACTGCAGCTCCTGGCTGGCGGGATTCAGTCTGCCGGGAATGGCCACGAATTTGGACCACAACTCGGAGGCAAAGTGAGGAGCCATGGGTGCCAGCATGATGATCTGGGCGGCCAGAGCCCGTTCAAATTGCTTGCCATGTCGCAAAACATGCTTTGGTGTGCGCTGAAAGGTTAATAAAAGTTACTAAAGTTTCGTAAAGGGATTTGGTATAATAACTAACCCTCAGGGAATTCGTTAAGCCCTGCATTTTAGAGATAGCCACACTAAGTTGATGGGCATGGCGGTAGTTGAAGGTGGCTCCTTTTACATAAAAGTTTCGGGCATCAAACAGCTTGGCATCCTCAGCCAGGAACTCTTCGCTGGTGGGGACAATTTCCGAAGGAGTTTGATCTTCGCGAGCCTCCTGGAAATCCTGCAGGGTCAACCAAAGACGCTTCTGCCAGTTGAGGATGCCGGGAAATGCTATAAAATATAATTAATATTAATTAAGATTAATTTAATATTACTTATAAGATAATACCCACTTGCACTGGACCAATTGCGATGCGAAGTGGGCGCCACATCGGCCAGGATGATCAGTCTCGTTGTGTCCGTTCCGTACTCATTGAACATATCACTCGGTTCCACGCCATTTAACTTCGACTTGGACATCTTTTCCCAGGTCATGACCACCGGTTCTTTGGTTTCCTTCAGCACCGCCTGGTTCTTTTTGGCGTTCACAATCTCTACCTCCTTTTCAGGCACATAGCGACCGCTGCCCTTCACCCGAAAGGAGCGACCCATGACCATTCCCTGGACGAGCAGGCGGGAGAAGGGTTCGCTGGTGGGCGAGAGACCGCAGCTGTGCAGGAAGTGGTTCATGAAGCGGGCGTAGTAGAGATGCAGGACAGCGTGCTCCTTGCCTCCAATATACAAATCCACGGGCATAAAGTTCTTGGCCAGCGCGGGATCAAAGATGCGCTCGGAGTTCTGGGCATCCAGGTAGCGCAAATAGTACCAGGAGCTGTCCACAAATGTGTCCATTGTATCCGTCTCTCTACGAGCGTCTTTTTCCCCGCATTTGGGGCACTCGCAGAGGAAGGCTTCCTTGGGCGAATTCTTCGGCGGCAGCGACACTGGCAGCTGCTCCTCCGGCACTGGCACTGCTCCGCACTTGGAACAGTGAACAATGGGTATGGGAGTGCCCCAGTAGCGCTGGCGTGAGATCAACCAATCCTGCAGCTTCGAGGAAACCCGATAGCCGCCCACATTGAGGCGCGTGGCTGCCTGGAGCACCTCTTTCCGTAACAGTTCCCAGTTGGCTGGACTTAAGGCGACCTCCTCCTTGCCGGTTGAGGTGAAAGCCAGGCCGTAGGAGTCCCACAGCTCCTTGTCTTCGCTGCGGAAACTCGGCGCCGCCAGGTAAACATCGCATTTCGGGGGGAAAGTCACTTCGTCGCCAAAAAGCACGGGCATTGTGGTTCCTGAAAAAGGATTCTCGGCACTGAGACTCCTGGAATCCTCCAGCTTCGATAAATGATGACTGTTGCGAAGGACGAGAAAGGCATGTGGATCCTTCAAGTGCTCCGGATGAGCAGTCCACACCCGCAGCAAACCAGATGCGGATGTAAGCAGATTAAAAGCGTAGCCATTGCATTCTCCTATCCAGTGGCGCTGCAGGTTGATGATATCCCTCCAATCCCGCAGCGTGGGATCCTCCAGGCCGTCCAGCAGCTGTTTGGCATACGCACTCGTCCGGATGAACCACTGGCGGAGCAGTTTCTTCTCCACCTTGGCACCTGAACGCCAGGAGCAGCCCTGCGAGTCCACCTGCTCATCCGCGAGCACCGTTTTGTCCACCGGATCCCAGTTAACCAAGGCTTCATTTTGGTAGGCCAATCCATGACGATGCAGTTGGAGGAAGAGGTGCTGCGTCCATCGGTAGTACTGCGGACTGCAGGTGGACAGCTCGTGGTTCCAATCAAAAGAGCATCCCAGTCGCTTCAGCTGTTCCTTCATCTGGGCAATGTTCTGTTCCGTCCAGGAGGCGGGCTCCACGCCCCGCTGATTGGCGGCATTCTCGGCGGGCAGACCAAATGAATCCCAGCCCATCGGTTGGAAGACATTCTTGCCGCACATCCGCTGGAATCGAGCCACTGCATCCGCAATGGTGTAGACGCGCACATGGCCCATGTGCAGGTTGCCCGAGGGATAGGGGAACATGGAGAGCACGTAGTACTTGTCCACCGGCTCCTTGGGGTTGAACTGACCTCCACTGAGTTGCTCCCGCCAGTGGGATTCAATCCGGTGCTTGACATCATTGGTTAGCTCGGGATTCTGAAAGATTTCAATGGTTTTAAGGGATTCTAGAGGATATTTCTGTACCCACCTCACTTCCCGTGCAGCTTTGGGTGAGCAGTCGCCTCCAACTACTCCAGTACGCCCCTCTCCAAGGCCGCCTACTTCTCAACGCTTGCATTTTCCCGGTTTTAATTGATTAAATTGCACATTTCACAATTATTAAATAACAAAATCGTAAGAACCCACTGCACTCTACAGTCGAACAGCTGTTTTTTCGGACAGTGCTGCCACATCGATCAGAAGGCTATACTTTGCACCAAGAATTTTTGGCGGGAAGCCTTTCCGACATACTGGCAACGCTTCGCCCAGGGTTGCATTCTCAATTCCCGCTAGACTACGGCAACTCCCTCCTTTTTGCAGTGGATTTTCGCCTAGGTGGCAAGGCCAAAACTGCATTTCGCGAAAAAAAACCACACGTAATTTTTCACAGGGCGAGGCATTGTGAAAAATCCAATTGCACACATTTTGAGGAGTATTTCTGAACCGAAAACCTTTGCGGGACATGGGCGACTCCCTGGAGAACCCCGATACGTCGGTGGATCCGGTCGTGAACCTGTCCATTGCGAATTACGATGCATTCGCCAACTATCTTCGCAAGGCGGTGACCATTTTGCTGCCGGAGGAGGATTCGGAGGTCCCAGCATCGCTGAACAACGCTCTGGACGATCCCATCAACCAGGATACGATCCGGAAGTTCCTCTCCGATCCCCAGGTGCAGGCGCTCTACGTCCAACGTAATTGCATCAAAGGTAAAATCATAATTTTCGCCAGGTTGGCAAGAGAAAACTTGGGTGAAAAAATGGCACAAAATGGCGTCTTTTCGGCAGAGATAAAATGGTTGGCAAGCTTTTGAAGTATTCTTTTTTGATTAGGGAAGTTAAAAAGTTAGATTACTATGGTTTTAATGAGTCATTTCTAGTTTTGTTGGGCGTATACGCAACCAGTTTGTTAAAAATCAATTCGGCAGATGATCTGGTTTGAATTCCAATTGGAATAGGTTATTTTGTTTGGTAGTCGACGTTTGAACACCCTAGTAATTTGTCGCAGAAAATATTCATGAAATATGTTTATTTAAATGAGCTATTAAACTAAACTAGTATATAAAAAACATTTTTAAAGAACTTAATCAATCGAAAAAAACATTTCAAAGTTACATATTGTGTAGTTTTGTAAATGATAATAAGTAACTTATGTAGAACAAGAGAGAACGCTATAAAAAAGATTAAAAACAGCATACAAATTTTTAAAAAATCAAATTTACCAACACTTAAATAAAATAATGAATAGCTGAAAAAATATTTTAAATTTTATTTAAATGTAATGTAAGGAAGTTTTTATGAATTTTATACATTTAAGAATGTATAAAATTAATTCTCTCAAAATTTGAATTGAGTTCAGCATGCAAAATAACTTCCCCGAAGTAGTAATAACGAACGGCATTGAAAACTGAGCATACTTAATTAAAGGGTATGAAAACAAGTTTCTGCGCATGACGTCAGCCCATCTGACTCACTCTCCAATAACGATAGGTCGATAATTTCGCCTGCAGCGATAAATCCAAACAGCTGTTTTCGGCTTGCCGGCTTCGTTTGTTTACAAACAATGCGATTTCGCCGGTGAGTAACAGCTGTCGCCTATTAAATCAACAAGTTTTGTTTACGGAAACGACCTTGGAGGCTGCGCACACACCTTCCCCTGATTTCGATTCCGATTCGGTGACTTTGGGGCCGACATTGACATTGGCCGCAGGCAATGCCACCCGGCAGATTGGCATTGGCACCGGGGCCAACTGCGTGGGAGCAATGACATCGCCAAGGTCCAGCCTTGAGCGCACGAATTTCGAAGGTTTTTCCCTTGGCCGCTGAATTTCCGGAGGTCGTCGCCTTGATAATGAAATTATGCCAATGCCGTGCCATTGAGTCCAATGACAAATGGGGCGCAACTGAAAGTGGGTGAGGGGAGGTAAATGTGAGTTACTATGTAGTGAGTATTGGAGGTCCCATTAGGAAGTATTGGGATTATGTATAGAAGATTATAATATTTTTAATGTTCATTTGGAAATTATTGGGGACCAACTAGGAATATGTATAGGACATTATAATATTTATACCCGTTACTCGTAGAGTAAAAGGGTATATTGTATTCGTGCAAAAGTATGTAACAGGTAGAAGGAAGCGTTTCCGACCCCATAAAGTATATATATTCTTGATCAGGATCACTAGCCGAGTCGATCTAGCCATGTCCGTCTGTCCGTCTGTCTGTCTGTCTGTCTGTCTGTCTGTCTGTCTGTCTGTCCGTCTGTCCGTATGAACGCTGAGATCTCGGAAACTATAAAAGCTAGAAGATTGACATTTTGCATGCAGATTCTAGGAGTTCCTACGCAGCGCAAGTTTGTTTCAAAAGGGTGCCACGCCCCCTCTAACGCCCACAATCGCATATATACGATTTTAAAAATTTCAATATTTTGGAAAAGTAAAAATGCAGTTTTATTGTGTTTATCAATACCTATCGAAATGTAGAAGAAATTTTTTAAATCGGACCATTCGTTAAAAAGTTACGGCGGATCAAAGTTTTTCTCCATCTCTTTCGCACTCCCTTTAGCTGAGTAACGGGTATCTGATAGTCGGGGCACCCGACTATAGCGTTCTCTCTTGTTTGTATTGTAATTTAAAATGCAAATTTAAAATAAAATTTGAATATATTTTCCTAACTTTTTAACTACATTTTGCATAGAAACCATTATCTTAAAGCTAGGCAAAAATTAAAATTTTGCAATATTTTTATTTATTTTTTAGGTTAAATAATTTTGAGTTATACATTTTCTTTTTTTTTTTAAACCTTTTACATAAGGTCTAATATATCTAACAGGGAACGTAACTGTTATAAGTTTTATTTTAAAAATCACACTTTAACAGTTATTTTCTGATTTGTAAAGTAAAACTCAAAGAATAACTGTTATTTTTTGAGTTTTATAATAAAAGTTGACAAATAACAGTTATTCGTCGTGATCAAAATAAAACTCAAACTTGATTTATGGCGATTTTGTGGGTAAACCAAATTTTAAAAAAATATAGGTAAAAAATATGCGCGGTTGCCTTTTTTAACAAATTTTTAGTAAGTTATAAAAAGCACGGGTATTATGTTTTTTTTAATTATTTCATTTTTTCAAAAATGTCAAGGGAATAACTGTTATTCATAAAAATCAAAAAATAACAGTTATTTTTTGAGTTTTATTATAAAAATCAAAAAATAAAAATCATTACGGATTTGTAAACTACAATGGCTAATAAAAATTGCGGTGTATTTAAAAAATTTTTAGGACCCTTCTAAGTGCGTGATTTTTTTGTATGAAAAATTTACAATAACAGTTATTTTCGTTCCCTGATATCTAATAATAAAAGGAATCACCCTTATATGTATGTATGATTGAAAAATGAATAAATTTAAGTGGTTTTACAAGTTAAGCAATTATTTCCATAGTTTTTACTCACACTTACTGCCCATTTCAGAGGACGACAGCGAGCAGCCAGCGGAGGGCGAGGAGGAGAAGGAGCAGGTGACCTACCAGATCAGCAACGATGTCCACTTCACCAACAGCCGCATGGCCTCGCTGGCCTGCATCAAGCGTGGCGTCGTTGTGGAGGCGGACAAGTCGATCCACTCGCAGCTGCGACTGATCAACTTCTCGGACGGATCTCCCTACGAGACGCTGCATGCGTTCATCAGCAAGTCCCTGGCTCCCTACTTCAAGTCGTATGTCAAGGAGTCGGGACGCGCTGATCGCGATGGCGACAAGATGGCTCCCTCCGTGGAGAAGAAGCTGGCGGAGCTGGAGATGGGATTGCTGCACCTGCAGCAGAACATCGATATCCCTGAGATCACGTTGACTGCCCACCAGATGGTCAACACTGTGATCAGGAAGTGTTCGGATGAGAACAGGAAGGCCAAGGTGGCTGACTTTGGCGACAAGGTGGAGGATTCCTCGTTTTTGAATCAGCTGCAGACCGGTGTCAACCGCTGGATCACCGAGATCAAGAAGGTGACCAAGCTTAACCGAGATCCGGGTTCAGGAACTGCACTGCAGGTAAGAAAGAATTAAATATTAATAACTAGACATCGGATTTTAGACGAAATCGTTTTTTTTTTAAATACAATTTTAAGCCACATTTGATTGGTTACAAATTTTACTTATTAAGTTATAAATAGATTTAGGCCAAACTTAATTAAGGTTTTTGTAAAAAAATGTTAACCAATCAAATGTGGTTTTAAATTTAATTTAAAAAAAAATTTTAGGTGAAAAAATTCGATGTCTATTAATTACCCACCATCAACCTTACACATATTAATTCCTTTGCTCTCCTCAGGAAATCTCCTTCTGGCTGAATCTGGAGCGCGCCCTCTATCGCATCCAGGAGAAGCGCGAGTCGCCAGAGGTGGCCCTCACTTTGGACATTCTGAAGCATGGCAAGCGTTTCCATGCCACCGTTTCTTTCGATACGGATACCGGGCTGAAACAAGCTCTCGCCACGGTAGCCGACTACAATCCTTTGATGAAGGATTTCCCCATCAATGACTTACTATCCGCCACCGAGCTGGAGAAGATTAGACCTGCCGTCCAGCAGATCTTCTCGCATCTGCGCAAGGTGCGGAATACCAAGTACCCCATCCAGCGGTGCCTCAAGCTCATCGAGGCCATCTCGCGGGATTTGTCGCAGCAGCTGCTCAAGGTGCTGGGCACCCGGCGTCTGATGCACATTCCCTTTGACGAATTCGAGCGCGTCATGAACCAGTGCTTCGAGATTTTCAGCTGCTGGGATGACGAGTACGACAAGTTGCAGGGCTTGCTGCGCGATATTGTGAAGAAAAAGCGCGATGAGCATTTGAAGATGGTGTGGCGTGTTTCGCCGGCGCACAAGAAGCTGCAAACGCGCATGGAGCACATGCGCAAGTTTAGGCGGCAGCACGAGCAGCTGCGCACCGTCATCCTGCGCGTCCTGCGACCCACCAAGCCTGCTGTCAGCGATGACGGGAATGCCGTGGAAACCAAGCAGCCCTACAGCTTGGACGCTGCCGATGCCAATGCCATCGAGGAGGTGAACCTGGCCTACGAGAACGTCAAGGAGGTGGACTGTCTGGATATCACGAAGGAGGGTTCCGAGGCCTGGGAGGCTGCTGTGAAGCGATACGAGGAGAAGATTGGTAATT